TCTCTCTCTCTCTTGCTGTACACTGAATATATTGATTGAATGCTGAAAGCAAGATCAACTATTTCTTGGACACCGGATTTAATCTCTTTCTTTTCCTTTCCTGGAAGCCTGAGGGAGGGGAAAAAAATGGATTTCCAGAGTCAAAAACGACCGTCTTCAGAAGGAGCTGTTTCCTGCAAAACTGTCCCTGTGATGTCCGGAGTGAAAAAGAAGAAGATTGAAGCTGGACACCGATTTGTGTGTGTCTTTGGTGGAAGGGGGGGCGCCTTTGGTTATAACCCGTGCTTTTTAAAAATAGTTCTGTATTGTCTGTGAGATGAGGGGAGGGTGGTGTGTTTAGTGGGGTTTCCTTCATGGGAGAGAGGGAGGATCGGGATTAGCCCATCCTCTTCTGGGAAGCATCTCTTCTACTACATCCAGGCTGCTCTGAAAGTTGTAGGAGAGTCTCTGATCCTGGTCAAATAGGGCTGCATCTGCACTGAAGAAATAGCCCCGTTTGACACCGCTTTAACTGCCATGGCTCAAGGCTATGGGATTCTGGGAATGGTAGTGCGTTGTGGCATAGCCTTGATGCTGGGAGTGGGATTCTATGGGATTCTGGGAATGGTAGTGCGTTGTGCCATAGCCTTGATGCTGGGAGTGAGATTATATGGGATTCTGGGAATGGTAGTGTATTGTGGCATAGCCTTGAGCCATGGCAGTTAAAGCGGTGTCAAACGGGGTTATTTTTGCTGTGTAGATGCAGGCTAGGAGGAAGGAACGCAGTCTTTAGTAGGGGAAAATGGATGATGATGATGATGATGATGATGATGATGATTTAAATTGGAGGGGCGGTGTTATATCTCCTAAACGAGGGGTGAGCAATATGTCTGACAGGGGAAGGGAAAAAAAGAAACTGAAACCACTGGGGGAAAAAAATCATCTTACCTCCTGTCCTGAGTAATGTGTGTGTGAGTGTTGTGTGCCTTCAAGTTGTTTCCACGTAAGGCGCCCCTATGCTGAGGTTTTCTTGGCAAGATTTGTTCCGAGGAGGTTTGCCATTGCCTTCCCCTGAGGCTGAGAGCATGTTCCCGACTAATACTTTCAGTAAATAAAAGGACAGTCTTCTAATTTCGGACAGGGAAATGGATGATTCACTTTGGACCAGAAGGACCTCAGATTCACACCTCCGAAAGGAGAAAGGCGACTTTAAATCCAAACGGACACCCTAAGCCGCTTATTTGGGCATCCTTTCAAGTCAATGCGTTTCGGATCGGGCTGAAAATTGGATAGCTGCAGTTACTACACACTTAGGAGGGTTGCAGACTGCCAGAAATAGTGCAAATTGAGTCCACTTTAAGGGTTAGGGTTAGTGCTAGGGAATCATGGGAATATTTTTCCTGAGACATTGAGCCTTCTCTGTCAGAGAGCTCTGGTGCCACAATAAAATACAGTTCCCATGATTCCCTAACCCTAACCCTTAAAGTGGACTCAATTTGCACTATTTCTGGCAGTCTGCAACCCCCCTTACAGACACATTTACACCTACATATAAACATACCTGTAGACACACATACGTATAGTAATAACTATTATTGTTAGACGCATATTTAAATACCTTTTTCTCCGTAGAATATTTTTAAACCCTTTGCCTTCTTTTCCCGTATTTGCAACCAATTACAATACCTTCCATGTTGTTGTTGTTGTTGTGTGCCTTCAAGTAATTGCCGACTTAGGGAGATCCTAAGGCGATCCTAAGGCGAACCCATTCAGAGATTTGCTCAGAGGGCCTTTGCCTTCCTGGGAGGTTGAGAGAGTGTGACTTTCTCAAAGTCACCCAGTGGGTTTCCATGGCTGAGCGGGGGATATGAACTCCGGTCTCCAGAGTTGTAGTCCGACACTCAAACCACTAGACCATGCTGCCTCCATTACGTTCCTTACCAAATAAATCCCTTTAGACTCTTTGCAATAACGGTTTTAAAGCCTGAAACTTGCGCAGTGAGATCCTGAACGCCTCCAGCTCATATTGTTTTATGGGTTTACTCCCAGGGGCAATGGGACGGAGGATCAGAGACAGTACTTTACCTGCCATGGCTCAATGCTATGGAATTCTGGGAAGCGTAGTTGGTTGTGCCACAATCAACTACGCTTCCCAGAATTCCATAGCATTGAGCCATGGCAGGCAAAATACTGTCCAACCGGATCATTTC